TTACCATGGTCAAATCTCAGAAACTCACTTAAAATATACAAACCAAGTAAAAACTACTGAGGGAACTCTAAAACTCTAAAAAGGGTGGGTAGACAAGGTAAGTATTTATTGTGATAGTTGCGTCACCAGCCATGTAAATTAATCCAGATTCCGTTAAAATGTCACGATAAAAGTGTTGAAAGCACAATGTCCAAAATCAGTTATCTGACTATGGTCCCAAAGGAATATATAATCTATTTATTATATGATACCATCATTGACATAATCGCAAATTGAAAATTTCTATGAATATTTTAGATTGTCAATCATATATTTCATGTTCAGATAACACAAAACTATAGTAATTGAAAAAAAACCTATATTAAGTATTTTATCATTACAATATTTCTCAAAGGCTCGTTTCTGTTTAAAAATTAAAAAAGTTCCACAGCAAGTTTCAGTGTTTTATCTCATGTATTAGCATTTTGCTACCATTAAATTTTTTAAAATGGGCAAAGTATAGAATATTTAACGAAAATTAATTCACTGATATTATTGATTTCTTCTTTAGATGATTTTTCAATTAAATAATATACAAACAAATTCTTTTTAATGTTGTTTTAAATACCACCATATCTTTGATATTCACCTTAATAGCAGGAACTGTCCAATTTTAGGTACGCCATTCAAACGTTTTGAAAAATGGTATGATAATCTTTTACTTGTTCTAAGAGTATTTTCCGTTTGAGTAAAGTTTAGTTATATGGATTAAATCGGACCTTTTATGATAAAATCATCATACAGCACACAAAAACTCAAGTTTATTTAATCATTGAATTAGATAAAGTTAAAAGACAGGTGAATTTGAAATGAAAAACAATGAATATAAGGAAACTGAAAAAAAAAACACAGCATGAAAAATAGTCATAATAATTCTGTGAACAAAATATTTTATAAGGACAAAAAAATCATTTCTTTTTTATTTAAAAGGCAAATAAGTCATTTCTTTTTTTAAGCAAAATCATATAGAGAAACTTTGTTTTGACATCTTATCAAAAACTTAAGAAATGTATATATCACTTTGATTCTAGAACTCTAATTACTGTTTATAAGTTTAGCTGAATTACTCCGTCATAAACGTTCGTGCTTCGTCTTCTCATATTTTTTTTAGAAATGTAAAATATTTAAATTACGGTAAAATAATAAAATATGTGTTCAATCATTTAAAAATATTGAAATAAGTGCAGGATGTTTGAGAAAATACTATTTACATAAAGATATTTTGAATAGACGCGTTTTCTAATATTTCGGAAACGCTCATTGTCAAACGTTTAGAGGGACAAAGAAAAACATTGTCGACGATCTAGATCAAATCCATATAATTTGTCAAGGATTTTAATGGTTGGAATAGCTGAAATAATACACTGCATTCAACTAATACAATCAAATATATATAATGATTACTTGTTACTAGGGTCGCATTTTGATCTGTAGTATATACGGTTATAATTTTTAATCAATTACCAGTTCAAAAAAGAAAAAAATGATTTAAAATAAGTCGTTTAGTTATCTGAGAGTATTTTTCACAATTTTTTTCTTGATCAAATGTCTATTGGTCTTTCACTTAAATATTTTTCAAAAAATTTAGTACACATATTGGTTTTACCATGAAAAAGTTGAAAATTCTTGTAACTTTTTTTATACCTGTATAGTTATGGAATTAAGTATCATGCAAGTAGTTTTTGAAAATATAGTGAAGTAACTTAAAAACTCTTCAAAGATACAAGGCTTATAATTTGGAATGCAAGAATCGCGTTTCGTTTTCACAAAATACATCGAAGACGTATGTATTAAAACAGTTTGAAGACAGTATCAAATACAAAGTTGCTCTAGAGAGTACTGAAAATTTAAGAAACATTGTGCCAAGTACGGCTAAGGATATCTATTCTTTGGTGTAGAACATACATAATATTTCTTGTAAATCAACATTTCATAAATAGAATATCAAAATAAATTGAACTTATCAATTATATTTCATGTCAACACAAAAGTGCTGATTACTGACTATTGTAATACGGAAACATTCATCAAAGTAAATTCAACTTTTGTGAGAGTTTGTGTGGTCTTTATAAATAGTGTATAAAGAATCGTAATTTGTCTCGAGGTTGTTGAAGACACAAAAAGAGGTGAAACATACCTGGGGGAAATAAAAAATCATACGTAAAAAAAAAACAAAAAATACCATGGCCAAAAAGAAAAACAACGAAAAGACAAATATCAGTCGACAAGACAACACAGAAAACTCAAAACTGAAAACCACAAATTTCACCAAAGAAAAATTATTAAAACATATACTTGAAAAGCGGAGCAAAACATGATAAAGGTTTTGAATATGCCTTAATTAATTAATTAATTTTTTATTTATCAAATTTTCTATTTTTAACTTAATGAGCTCAAATTTTAAATCGTTTTGGAAAACAAAGCTGGGTTGGTTGAAAATGAATAATAACTCAGTTGGTTATATCCTTTTATTAATTATATTACAATATTCAAATAGTGTCATTTTAGAAAAGAACCTCGTATTTTTTATTTAGAAAAATACTCGGTGATGTTTAAAAAAAAAAGTGCATACACTCATGGAATTACGACAGGTCAATATAGTAAACAAAGAAATTACATCGTCAAACCAAGACAGATCAAGCAAGAGTAATGTTTGGGTATTGATTACATATTAACAAAACCAATTTGTCACATAATTTAAGTCATTACATCTTTCTGTTAGCTATTGTTTTTACTATTGTTTTAATCCTTCCAGTTTAAAAACATTGGGTAGTTATACAGTTTGTTCAGTTGCGTATTTTTGGAATTTTCCTGGTATCCGTGGTGTTGTTTGTAAATACAATCTTACATAGATATAAGAAGATGTGGTATGAGTGCCAATGAGACAACTCTCCATCCAAGTCAAAATTTATAAAAGTAAACCATTATAGGTCACAATGTCTGAATTATGAAATATATACATTTTCTGTAATTGAAATATTTCACACACACAAAAAAAAAAACCAAAACAATTATTGCTGTTGTAGCAAGGATAAATGAAAATTTTCTTGGATATTCTATATATCTAAATAATTTACCTAGTTAATTCAAACCAATGTAACGGCTCCGGGTGATTTTTCTAACGTCAAAACACGAAAAATTGTATAAAAGTACTTTGAAAAGGTATAGTTCATAGCCGTAAATGAAAACTGTTTGATATAGTTTCATAAATGTAGTATTATTAATATTTTGATTAATGAAAAATGATAATTATGGATAAATACAATACACATTTTAATATGGTTATAATATTTTTCGCTTTTCAAATGAATTTGAAGCTGAGTGCATCATTAGTTTTAAATGATTTTGAGATAGAATCTTAATATATATTTTTTTCTAAAGATACCTTAAATTGCAATAGAGTTGGTACAGAATACTTTTGCATAAGATTTAGATACTCGACAAAAATCAGAATGTTATATAAACTTATTTTTACAAGTAGGAATTTGTACAGACGAAAAATCTTTAAACTATGTTATTATAGAAAAAGTATAATTACCAAGAGTTGTTTTCATTTAAGACGATACGGTATGCTATACATAGATGAACATCATTGTTAAATACTAGACTTTGACAATTTGGAGCCTGATGTATTCTAATCTCTAAAGACTAATTCCACCCGTGGATATTTTTTTATTATGACATGTGGATGGCTCCATGTCTAACAGGCTGTAAATTAATATTTATTAAAATCACATTTTCGTTCAAGTATAAAGTCATGAATGCTTATTATCATGCATATCAAGATAAAGAAAACTTAAAACACAGGCGTCAAACTATAACGAAGATTGCGAAGGCCTTTTTGTCGAAGGTATCTTTAAACTAAGACATATCTTCGTCCTTAGTAAAATTTGTGAAAGTGTCGTTAATTAGGATATATACTAATATGTATCGTAAAGTTAAGGCATCAAAATATATATATATCTTATGATATTCTCAGTATAATCATGAAAAGTATCTGCTTTACGTTTATATCAATAAAACATTTGTTTTGTTACTCTCAATTTCCTGCTTTAAATGTGTGTTATGGGATTAGATATTGTGATTCTGATAAGGCATGCAGTCCTTTCAACTGCAATTTAAGAATTATGTATTGTACTTTAAATATATTCCCATGAAGTTTTCGTGTGCGACGTGCAATGTTTGTTTGTCCCATAGTTTAAATAAATCCTTAGATTTTCGATTTCTTTAAAAATGAAATTCATTGCATACAACTGTAATAGAATACTTCAGAATCATATAATCATTATTTTATAAATATTTGACTACAAAAATTGCATTTAATCAACATATTCATGATGTATAACTTTTCTCTCTTTATCTTTACCTTTTCTTTGTAATTTAATATAGTTATTATAATTAAATAAATAAATATCATTCTAATTATAATAATCTTATTATAAATACTAAAGTTAATTCTATTTATTATTTCACTGTAGAAGAAAAAAAAAGAATACTTTTTGATTAAACGAAAAAATGGCTAAAAATAATGCTAGTACTATCCCCATTAGGAATATCACAGGAAATACATATTTGTTTTACAGTCTAAGATGTGTCGTATGATGACCATACAATTGGTATCATTTATGTTATAGTCCTAAAGTTTGTCGTAAGACAGGATATTTTGGAATGCAATCAAACAGGATACCTTTGTCAATTTTAAAAACAAATAATAAAATTGCAATTTAAAAGAGTTTGTACGTTTATCATTCTGATTTTCTCAAGAAGACAAATAGAAATGAATGAAAGCATAGAACAATTTTATTTAGCCCTCAAAAGTGTAAATGCCACCTTGGAATATTATAAAGAAAGGGTTATGTTTTTAAAATAATACATGGCAATTATCATTTCACATAATTTATATTTGAGGCGGTCACATAAATTCGTTAACAGGATAAAGTAGATTTATATGAACAACTTACCTTGTGACCTACTATATGGGAAACCATCACGTTACTTTATGTTGGTTTACGAAATTCCCCATGTTGTCAAAATACTCTTTCATCTTAACCCTATAAAGTAAGGTTACAGTTTATTTAATTTGTTAGTTTATTATGCAAGTTTATTTAAAGCTATAAAATATTAATTTCATAAAGCAATTATTTATGGTGTTCAGGGTCAAAATCGAAGAAAAGTCTTTATATTCTAGGGACAGGCATAAAAACTTGAACAATCTATATCAATACATTTTTTTACATCTTTCCATTGAAATGCCTTTATATTGCACCCCTTTTGCATGCAAAATAAAAATGCTGTGTTGTAAAATATAATGTATTTATAATGAAAAAAGTCATGGCGCGTGAAATATTTAAAATGTTAATGATATTTTATTATATGAAGTACAGACTAGTGTTTTCTATTGTGACAAATATGAGAGATTAATTACTTGGGACTTACATAAACTAGATTGTCCTATTGTTGCTCATAAAATATAAAATACTTCTGTCATTTTTATATCTACATAAATTTTCACTTTTTTTTTATTTCATTCATATTTTTCAATGTCAGTTTTTCGCGTATGACCTACCAAAAATTATATGCCTGGTATCTTTGACAAAACTTTTTTGTAGTTACTTTAAATTGCATTCAGAAATAACAATGAAATATTTTGTAGAATTGTAAAATAACTGTGAAGAGATAAAACATATAAAAACTCTATCGTAAGGCAATATAAAGAAGACTGAAATTTTATTGACCAATAACGAAGATATAATACTAGCCATATATTCATAGAACAAAGTAAGACACCAACACTACAGGAATAAACACAAGATAAAAGATGTGCTATCAGAACACTTCTGTTTTAATTTAACTTTATCTCTAAACTACACCTAATATTTTATCGTATGCACGTCCCAGACACACTGCCGAATTTCTCTACGGTCATCCATTTCTTTCTACACCAATTATAATATTTGAAAAAAGAGATAAAACATATAATTGAAATAATAAATACTAATTTGTCGTAAATAATGACGAAAGATAAGGTTTATATGCGATCAGAGGAATTTGAATATTAACACGAGACCAAAAAGCTTCAAAAACTCAATTATTCGACATTTTGAAAAGTCACATATATTTTCATCAGAAAGGTCAAAACATAAGGGACGAATAAGAATTCATCGAATTATCGAATTTACGGCAACAAACAATTTAAGTTAATTCAGTCATAAATAAATTGGAGTAACTTAATTTGTCTGCTTATACTATTGGCTTTCAATATGCTTTGTTATCAACTGCTCTGGGAAGTGACGAATCCAATTTAACCAGTGACTAAGTGCAATTTATATCACTGAACTTTATATATTAAGATAAGGAATCAACGTTTGTATATCTTCTATCTCTGGCTATTATAAAACCCAGAGCAAAAAGTACTTAATGTATTTGGCATTGCTGTCATAAAACCGGTTGAAATCATTTCCCAAACTTATCATGGTTTGTCTCTTAATATCTTTATTTTCTGACTTTGAAAAAAAAAGATAACTTAGGTTATTGTGATCAGGAATGCAGCGACTTTGGTATTCACACAAGTGTTCCGCCTAATTAACCACTTTTTGAATTAATCATCTAATTACTACCACAATTTGATATTAATAAGTATTGTAATTTTCATTGTTATAAATAAATGTAATGTCAGTATTACAAATCTAATCTTGAATCAATCCTAATCCTATCTTATTTTTGGGAAATATTTTTACAAATTAAATTGTGACGTCACTTTGTGTGTTTTTTTAGAATTTCAAATGTGACGTCACTTTGTGCGTTGAGGCTTTGGTTAACTCGGCTGTGTATCTTTATGTGTTGGATTAAGTTGTTTTATGTACTGTATCCGTTTTTATTCTGTAGTTAGTCCCCACTTCGGTGTTGTCATGTTTATCTATTATATAGTCATTTTATAAAATTTACTGTTTGCAAAATTATGAATTATTCTAAATAATAAGGATGTTTTTGTCCTAGGCAGAAAACCCTGGCCGTGTTGGGCGCAACTTTTTGGAAGTTTTGGTCCTCGGTGCTCTTCAGCTTTGTGCTTGTTTTGGCTTTCAAACTTTTTTCATCTTAGCGTCGCTGGTTGGTCTTGTGTGGACGAGACGCACGTCTGGCGTTTTGAATTTTAAGCCTTAGTACCTTTTGTTAGCTATTATTCGTGTGTTTCTTTGTCCAATATGTTCTCCCTTTTATTTGTATTGTTGTCCTGTCATGTGATGTTGTCGTTTTGGTGTTGTGTTTGACGTTGCCATAAAAGCGGGAGGTTTGGCATGCCACAAAACCAGGTTCAACCCACCATTTTTTTCTTAAAATGTCCTGTACCAAGTCAGGAAAATTATAGTTCGTTTCTGTGTGTGTTACATTTTAATGTTGTGTTTTTGTTGTGTCGTTGTTCTCCTCTTATATTTGATGCGTTTCCCTCAGTTTTAGTTTGTAACCCGGATTTGTTTTTATCTCTATCGATTTATGAGTTTCGAACAGCGGTATACTACTGTTGCCTTTATTTGAGTTATTTCATTTTATGGAATTCTTTTTCCGATTTAAATCGAACTTGGAAGTTTTATTTTTATGAAAGCCTACGCCGATTTTGTACTTACAGTGCAACACGAGGGGTGCCACATGTGAAGCAGGATCTTCTTACACTTCAGGAGCACCTGAGATTACCCCTGGTGTTTGGTGGGGTTCGTAGTTTAGTTTTCTTTGTTGTTTTTTGTTTACTGTTGTATGTCTTTTGGTCGTTTTTTGTCATGGCCTTGTCAGTGCGTTTTCGACTAGTTTGAATATCCCTTTTGTGTTTGTTTGCCTCTCTTTTATCTAAAACAGTTATTGATATGCATTTTGTAAGTCTTAAGATGATATGGTTAAGGCTCTTGTTTTCACTACATCCTTCAACTGGACTTAATTTGTTTTAGCAATCAAAATAACAAGCCCAATCTGACTTAGATTTGATATATTGACGTTATAGTAAACTGCATTGAATATCTAATTGGTATTGATCAGATAAAAGCAAGGTCCAGAAAACGAATTTTGAAGACTTCAAACGTCATCCAGTCACCACATGACCAGATGTTTCTACGACGATTTTGGTACAGATTGCATTGCACATACATTTCCTTGGCCTTGTAAAAAAAAAACATAATTTTCTTCATCGCTACATTTGAAACATATAAAGTATGGGAGTTTCTTTGTGTCATAAAATAACATGGGGCTATTTTAGTAATGTTTTAAACTTCAATATTTTTGATATTTCAAATAATGGTGAAATAGTGATTCGAAAAAAACTTGTCGCCGTGTGATACTTGTATGATGACAAAACATGATGTAATTGAAGGCACATAGACAACCATTGACCTTTTTTTATATTAAGACGAATAAACAGTCTCTTTTGAGTCTTTAGTATGATACTTTTGCGTGTTGAATTGTGGTAATTATTTATGTAGTTGCGTCTGAACAATCGTCCCTTTGTGGAGTTAGAAACATATTCTACCCTTTTTATGTTCCTCTTATAGGAGACTGATTCCTTTTCTAATATGAATCCCAGTTTATGGTCAAATTTTATAATACCAAAATAAGACAAAATAAGGCACCAGTCATTATCTGTTTTAACAATACATTCGGATATATAGACGATCTATTGTCTTTAAACATTCCATTTTTTGCTTATTGTAGAAATAAAATTTATCAACCTTAACACATTCTTATTTATAAATACAATCTTAATTTTAACAAGTAATATTTTCTATACCAAAAGTCTTTCAATACTTTGTTAGCATTGACAAAGATATACTTACTTGGTCGAAACTTTATTACAGATATAGAAACTTATTGTGGAAGTATCATTCCACCTACAGGAATTTAATGTTTTTAACATTTATATTTTTTTTCGGAAAGATTTCATCATAAAATTTTGCTTTAAATAATTTTGTTTGGTTTAATAGGCATATTGATAAAGTTTATACTAATATACTGTTGTTCAATCATTTTGCATTTTTGTGGATGCAAATCCGTCAAGACTCGAAGTTGTTTCGTTGCTATATGAAATTTGCTTGAAATCCATTAAACTAGATAAGACAAAAGGGCGGAATGTTAAGTACTTTGAGCTTGATTTTTGTTATTGGAAACCTTCTTTGATATTTTGTTTGTGCTTGGGCTCGCGCTGTTAGAAAAAAATGTTTGGAAGATAAAAAAAAAAATAAAACAAAAACACGACAACAATGGAAAGCAGAAACATCCCACCAGAATACCAAAGTTTATTTATATCAAATTTGACTGAGTACGATAAAAAATACAGGAAACTGATGTCTACGCACAATTTAATCATTTAATTTGATATAAGCATTGCGATTTTTTATGATGTATTTGGTCAGCATTTAACTTTATCGTTTTGTTACAGACATTCCGTTTTAAAATATGTGAGAGTAAACATTTTTTTCTTTGAAATTCAATTACTAATTATATATAGCGAATAAATTGATTACAAACATAATTAATGAACAGTTCATTGGTAAGTATTGGAGTTATAATTTGATACATCAATATTGAATTAGTAGAAATAAAAGACAAAGTAACATAAATGGGTATTGCTCATCCATTAAACCGTTTGCAAAGTTTGTTTTAAATATAATTATACAAATTATTATAGTCTTGATTTCACATTTAAGGAAGTCATTATACAATTTTACTAATTCATAAAGATTGACTGGTCCAATCCAGTTTCATCCTTCCTTCCGAGTCTTTTTTCTGGATTAGTCTTCATCAGAAACGCTCACACCTAAATTTTTAAAAGCCATGTAGGACTGTTTCACGGTCACACTCAATAATTAGTTGACAACTACAATATGTATGTGTCTCAACTCACTTGCGACATGTTCACACAGTCTTTGATCATAATATATCAGTTTAATCATCTAATCTGTATTTTTACCCATTGTGACCTTTTTCGATTGTAAATGTTTTCCCTGAGTGTTGATTTAATTTGCATTTCGGGTGATGCATGCATAACAAAAGATGCTT